CTAAAATGTATCTTTGTCAAAATTAAAAGAAAAAGTTCGAAAAATACAATGAAAACATCCAAGACGGCATCTTGTTTAATACAAGTTTTTAATTTTTTTTTGAAAATTCTTAATTAGGATTTTATTATTTCTTATGTATTAATCACCAGAATAATTATTTAAGAAAACGGTGAATGGGGGTGGGGTAAAGGGGCCCTTACCAACTTATGAGGGATCCGTGTTTCCAAGGGAGTTCAAGTTCATTCTTTTGGTTAATTTACCAGATACATTTAATCCCCCTCACCCGAAAACACGAAACAGGATGTTTGAATTTGAAAAAAATTCCTTTATTTATATATATATTGTGTGTGTGTGCGTGTGTGTGTTTTAACATGTCAATCCCCTTCCCCCGCCTTCAAAATCGATGCCACATGCCTGGATTAATTATACATCTCTGAATTGCTACTGACTTGTATTTGACGACAGATGTTTATATGACTGGTCAGAAACCCTTTTCCTCAAGGGACACAGCATTTTCTGGGCACAAACATATTGTTGTGATTGAGAGTTTAAAGTACAGTCAAACCTCATTGAACTCAGGGGGACCGAGATTAAGCTCAAGATACCAGAGAGTTCGAGATAAGAGGTTAGAAAAACATGAAGTAAAAGTGATTGGGACTGCCAAATCTGACATATCGATCCCTGGTATTCTAGCTAGATATCGATGTTCGAGAAATCGAAGTTTAACTGTATTTAAAATTGTGTTAATGCCAGTTTATTTTTGTGAATGGTGTCCCCCCTTCCTATCCACTCAAATTTTTGAATACATATATATCTGTAAATTTCTTGATGTCGCTAGAATGCATATTAAGAAATTTATTTTGTCTTTTCCCCCAAGAGATCTAAGGTTTTAATTGTTTTTAATTTTCAGGCTTCGTCTAGTCAGAAAAAAAAATACATTTTTGTGTGTTAAGTATTTTTCTCTATCGAAATATAAACTGGAAAACTTGAAGGTTATAAACATACATGTATCAACGTACAATTCAGTGAAGATCAGCAGTTTAAAAAGTCAAGTAAATATGTCCTAATTAAAAAAAACAACAACAGGAAAAAAAAAAAAAAAAAAACCAACAACTTCCGTAAGGGATGCGGAAAGCCTTTCTAAAATAAAAGTGATTAGTTGGGGAGTCCATTTGTTTTTAAAAAATGTGTTATCTGCTGACAAAATCTTTTCATTTCCTATTCCTAAAATCTTATTTTTTAGGTGACGAGAAAGAAAGAGAGAGAAAAAGAGAGGGAGTTAGGGTTTTCATTACTCATTTCACTTAGGAATATCCCTTGTCTAAAAATATAACAAGTCTTTGATATTACATATTTTTCCTAAAGATTTATGTATCAGCATCCGGATTCAACTGAATCTGGAATCAATTTTTGAAATACAAAAAATAAGGTTAAATTAAAGGTAAGAATCATATAGGTGAAACTATATTTCTTTAAAATAATGAACTTTACTCAAATACAAAATCGACAAACTGAATACAAATTTTGTGTTTCCGAAGCTATAGGCATGTTCGCCCGAGATGGGTGAACAAGGCGTGCAGAATTTGAAAAATTCCATGCACATTAGTCTACGCCTATCTTTAATTCAAAGAAGCACATTTATAGAATATTGTGTTCTTCTCATTGTCTACGTAGAAACTGTAGCATTATAATTATTGCAATGTTGAGGATGAACACTATAGATCTATTTCTATTGAATGCTTCTCCGAGGGAGCATAACCATCACAGAGTGTTTGTGTCTATATGCAACTTTATACATTATACAATAAATTAGAATATGATATAATCTGTCACATATTACTATAGCTATATAAACGCACTTTATCTACAGATGGGTTGTGCAGTTTATCGTTATTCAATGCATTATCTGCTGAACACAGAAACAATTCTGTCTTTTACCTGCTTCTTTTGTGACCCCTCCCCGCCCCCTCCCCCCATTAATCCTAGATTATGGGAGCATCAAAAAAAGCCCGGGAATAAATTAAAGCTAAATACCTATAACTCAACTTTGAAAAGTGATCGGTTACTGATTTGGGAGGGAATAAATTACATGAAAGACCTTAACTGAGAAACACATATCCCCCCTACCAAATAATAACAGCATTACCTCACAAATCATCTTTAGGGTGTGAGTTAAACTGTGTCAAGACGTCGCGAGGACGATTGAAGTGTATGACGTTAGTAAAGCGATAAGAAGAGCTTCATGTTTCTATTTGTAGTCTGTTCGTTTATTTTCGCTGACAAATTTTAATGAATCAATTAACATAAAATAGAGAATGTTTTAGTTCATCAGAAGCCACGCGTGTGATTCATTTAGTTTAATTAACTAGCCCAGAAGTCACGAAGATAATGCAAAGATGGTATATTTTCACGAGTTGTAATATTTATGGCATGTCAAACGTTGCAATATTCGATCTTTTGCATTTGCATTGTATAATTTTCCATTTGCATTGTATAATTTTTATTTGTATTGTATAATTTTCTATTTGTATTGTATAATTTTTCATTTGTATTGTATAATTTTTATTTGTATTCTATAATTTTCTATTTGTATTGTATAATTTTCATTTGTATTGTATAATTTTTATTTGTATTGTATAATTTTCCATTTGCATTGTATAATTTCTTATTTGTATTGTAAAATTTCTTATTTGTATGCGATAATTTTTCATTTGTATTGTATCCGCGGACTGTTTATTTGTTTCGTTACGAAGGATTTCATTGGTCAAGTTTCAGCCTGTATCGGGTTGAAGATGTTCCGGATGCTCAAAGCAAACTGGGCTCATATGTATTTGCTTGCTTGATTGATTGATTATTGTTTAACGCCGAGTCGGCAATATTTCAGCCATATTTCGGCGGCATATGTATTTGCGTGCATGTTAGACGGTCATTGGATTCTAAAAAGGGAGCGCTGGTAGATGGCAAATAAATAATCTGTCCTTAGGAATGCTGACTGAGAAAATAAATAAATTGACCTTGAGTGGTGGTAACTACCCCCACCTCCAAAAAACTGAGTTTTCGGGTTTGGGCGGATTTTCTTCTTTTTGTTTTTCTCCTTGTCTCTGGTCATATTGGAAATAAATATTCTCTCCTGCGAGAGAATGAAAATAAATAATCGGATTCGACACCCCCCCCCCCCCCCCGAGAATCAAATGGTCGTCCCTTAGCATGCACCGCAAATAGAGGAGCCGAGTTTGTGTTTGTAGAGAGTGCGCAATCGGAATTGTGGGAAGGGTACCAGACTAAGTTTGTGATGGGCACCTGAGACCTTTATACAGACTAAATTTTATGACCAATGACATCCTTCGTAACGAAATAAATAAACAATCCTCGGATACAATACAAATGAAAAATTATCGCATACAAATAAGAAATTATACAATACAAATAAGAAATTATACAATGCAAATGGAAAATATAGAATACAAATGAAAAATTATACAATACAAATGATTTTTTTTACAACACAAATGGAAAATATAGAATACAAATAAACATTATACAATCCAAATGGAAAATTATAAAATCCAAATGGAAAATTATAGAATACAAATAAAAATTATACAATACAAATTGAAAATTATACAATACAAATGAAAAATTATACAATACAAATGAAAAATTATACAATACAAATGGAAAGTTATACAATACAAATGGAAAAGATCGAATATTGCAACGTTTGACATGCCATAAATATTATTGAAGAAATACATGTACTAATATTTTATCTGATGACGGAGGAATCAACATCCGGGTGACTTTCATTAATCTAAATAGGGCATATATCCTGATTATTAGGTACACAAACGTTTATATATTCTTTTGCTCGGGAAAACTTACAAAAAATTCATTTTAAATGGCCAGTATCTGGCGCGATACCTTACGTTAAAAGCGTATCAGAAGACAGAGTCTATGTAATTATTTTCATATGAGGATTCTTCAGACTTACAGCATTCTTATTTTGATCCTGCTGATGTTCATCAAATTTTTAAAGATGTTTCGTTTATATTTCAATTCCAAACTTAGCTTCACTGTGGTCCGACCTAACTCCATGATTTCAACGAAACTAGATCTACTTTTTCTTAAGATACTCTGATGAGTTTGTCTCCACTGCATACATAAAAGAAAACTAAGTACATTATTATTGCTTTTCTTTGCAAAAATGAAAGCCCTCCTGACTTAAATCTACCATTGAAAGATGTTAATAAAAATGAAAAACAACAACCAATACTATTAAATTGTATTTTACCAAAAGACTATATCTAGGGAGGGGGCGGGGGGGGGGGAATTACTGTTCCATTTTTTTTTTAAATATAAAACTGCGTATGAGAAAAGCCATTCTGTTGCTAAATGGCGAGCTAATTCTTTTTTACTTTTTAAAATAAAATGATATGAAATAGAAATAACAGTTATGTATATTGCTGTCTTTTTAAGTTTCCCTTTGGAAAAGCAGCGATCGGTGACAGTCAGATCAGATCTGTAATAATTTTGAAAAAAAAATGCATACAGGAACTGAGGCCTTGGGTCAGGCAATTTCACCATTAAATAAAATACTTTTGCAGATATTGCATTGCTTTGTTTTGAAATTAACAAATAACAGATTTTGACTGCTCAACGTTATGCAATCGTAATTGATTGAAGACTCTGTTAGCATCATAGTTTTAAATACAGTAATGTATACCATTCCTGACTAGCCATATTAGAAATAGCTGTAAAATCCTGAGTAATCCCCCATATTTTTAAATTTATTTTAAAATTTACGTCACACTTGAGGTTCCTGTCGGTCTTTGACGGATGGCAATCACGAATTCGTGGCTTTTACAGGTTATCTCGCTTGTTCCAATCACCTGAAATCGTAAGCCTATCTGACAGATTCTTTCGCAATGTCTAAAAATAGATCGGGTAGTCTTAAATATAAATGTTTGCTTGTCGTACCATCGGTGTAAATCTCTAAGAAAATGCCAGAGAGAATAGGTGATATAGAGCTTGTCGAAACAGTACATCCTATGGATGGAAACCCTACCTTTGATTTGGAGGACAGTGAAAAGGTTTACTATCAGAAATGCACACCGGGCATGATTTCGACGGCGAATCCTTGGGACAAAGATTCATTAAACTGTAGAACAATGACATGTGTATCACCGGACACTAAACTGACCATTGTCCAGGATAGATGCAGTAAACAAATGCCAGGCCGTTGTTCTTTATGGATGCTGTGGTTGAAATTTTCTTCTTTTTTGTATTTGATTCTGCTTATTTTGCTAATCCTGTGGGCATTACACCAGCATAAAGTATTACAAGAGAGGAATACAGGACCAACACAATACCAGGTGAGTGTCTCCATTGACTCATTATGTCTGAAAACCAGGAGGTTTATGTATACTCTCCTCAGTAACCTGCATGATACATCCACAAAAATAACCTTATAATACTCAAACTTTCGATCGTACAAAACGATGACAGTCCATCAAAATTTTCTCTATTGACATTAAAAAATTTTGAAATATTTGTTACAATGTAGCAGCAAGTCTATCTCGTCTCCATACATTTTAATGAAACTGCAAATATTTACCCCTTTATATATCAACATATGGCACCAACAATTCCAAATGATTGATGTGCGTATTCATAAACTTTAAGAAAACATTTTAAATATATATTGTATCTGTTTTCAAATGACCATACCTATAATACCTTCAAATACCTTCAAATGACTATACAAACTATACAAAACAGAGAATACATCGTTTTATACATGTATGGGAAGTATACTATAGTAAAGTTTTTTACTAGGCTCGCCTCATTTTCTAATGGTATTAATCATGGAAAATCTATGACCAAGGTCGCCTTGAAACATCTAAAATAGGGCTAGTATGTACAATCATAAATTACATGCAGTTTCAAAACCCCTGATTTCAACATCTAGATTGCTCACTGCACCCTTAGTACATTCAGATGTTAAATATTAAGTATTTACACGGTGTAGAGTTTTTAAAAAAAAAATTGAGAACAATCGATTCAAGATACATTTACTTTCAGCACATATAATATGCACAGATCGACATACGGTTTAATTAATGTCTAATCTCTCGTTTTAGGTTCCTTCCTTTGCCTCTGCTTTAACTGGCGACGGAGAAACTGGTAAGAACATGATCCATTCCACATATCCCGTGTAAATACGTGAATCAAGGGCTTAGCTAGGGGTGTTTTATGTGGAAGCAGAAGAAGGCAAGGTGTTTTGGGGCCGTCTTGAGGCCCCAAATACATTCAGGGCAAAGCCCTGGTGTGGGCTCAGGGGGGCGAAGCCCGGAAGCTGGTGGATTTTTAGCATTTCTGACAACTAACTTTAGGTGTCCAGAAAATGCTGATTTCATAATGAAATTTTATAATTTCTTCTGGTGGGGTCTCGGGGCTAAATTTCCTAGAAGCTTGTGAATTTTAAGCTTTCTCTGACAGCTAAATTGGAGTGTCCAGAAATGTTACAGTAAATTAGCTTAAATTTCATGATTTAAAATTCAGATTTCACGATGAAATTCTCAATAAAGTAGACAAAGAATATCCCGTTTCATGACATTTTGATATTTTAAATTGAACCCTTATTTTCAGTGTCAATACTTGAGGACATTTTGTTGTCTTATAGATGGACTCCTTCTATTTAGTATCAATACAACAGAGTTTTGTTATTATCCTATATGTATTTTTTTTCTATTTTAGGTCTATCAGAAAGATCAAAAGCTTTACTGCACCAGGGTCAGAATATACCAGTCAGAGGTAAGCACATGCACCTGGTACAGTTTCATATCTTTAAAATCTGTATACAGTGACGTAGCATCGTTTTTGAAAGTGGGGGGCCAACTTCTTTAAGTACCTTTTTTTTTTTTACTTCAAACACTGCATTCCCCTTTTATTACCCTTATTTGACAATACTGCAACCAAAAAGGGGGGGGGGGGGCAACCGGACTTTCAATGACCATTTCCTATAGAAAAACATGTCTGGAAAAAAGTGGGGGGCACCCCCCCCCCCCCGATACTACGTGATTGTTATATATGATAGACTTTTTATTATATGCATGTAATGTAAATTAGCACTGTTCCCTTAATGCGTCTAAGAAAAAAAGTAAGAAAATCTCGATGGGGATCGAACTTCCATACAAGCCTACTATGATAAGTAATAGAATGTTTGGGGTTAATTCTGCACTTTTTGATGAAATCTCTTTAATTCTTTTTTTTAATCTCTGTTTAATGTTCCTTGACCAGACGTTTTCGCCCCAAACAAAATGGTCTGGATAAAAAAAAGGTGCTGGTACCACAAAGAAAGTTACCAAAACGCACACAGTAGGCCTAGTATAGAAGTTTCATAGGGAAAACAGTTTTATATTAAAAAAAAAAAAAAAAGCAATACAGTAATAAAGTTCAACCCAAACTAAAACACATTGCGTTGAACTTCAAACATTTGCGAGATTTTCTTTCGATCATAGCGAATGACAACGGTGGGATATGACTGATAAATGTTAAATTTTAATCTAACCATGCATGCTGTTTCTTAGCAAGTAAATAACACAGAAAAACTGTTTACTTAATTTCAGAGCCAGAGATAATGATATGGGAGAGGATGCCTTCTTCATACATAACCGGGACTGACATAAAATACAAAAACAGACGATATTACGTCAGTTCCGGCGGATATTACGAAGTGCAGTGTCGTTTACAGTTTGACACGTATTCTGGAGAAGTTCCAGTTAATGATACTACAATATACTTTTCCATGATAAAAAGCACGGGGCCTGGCAGCAGTGTGAATTTAATGTCTGAAAAGGCGACACTGAGACCCCGCACACACCGCGGGATTCAGTTAGGCCCTACCGTGTTCTCTCTGGAAGCCGGAAACTCGGTATATATTTCTGTATTGGGGCACAAATATGTGTATCGTACAAAAGACAGCTATTTCGCGATGAGAAGAATTGAATGAAAAAATCACAAACTTAGTATGCATGTTTATTGTGAGGTGCATATTGCAGTTAAATCTAGGTAACACACAAAATTCTGTTGTGCAGTTGCTGAATTCATGTACTTTTACTGTCCTTTATGTATATCAGATAGTCTTATATAGTTAGATAGTACAGTTTTATTTGCATGTTATTAGTATGTTGTTTATTAGTATCTTGTACGCGTAGACACAGAAAACGTCGTTGATGTAATGTTAACATGTTTAATTATTTTATAGTAAATGCACAAGGGTGAATCGTGTTATGCTCAAAGCAAAACGATGATGAATAGCATGCATGTAAATATTCATTCATGAAATCATATATGATTAATTCACAACATGTGTATATAGACCAGTTTTTCAAACTATTACCTCGACATTACAGATGCTTATTTATTTGCTCACCTGAGTCAAAGTGTCTGATCACCCTCCGTCTGTCGGCATTGTTTAAACTACTGGACCGATTTCAAACTTAACAGAAAGTATTCCTGGGTAAAGAGGATTCAAATTTGTTGAAATGAAGGGCCAATTTCCCTTTCAAAGGGAGATAATGAAAATAAGGAAGAAAATAAATGTGGATCATATTTTAGCATGAGAAAAATCATTTAAAAATCTTCTCTAAAATAACATGGTCTTGATTGGTGCTAACAGTATATGTAATGATGCTCATGTAGTGCAGATTCAATTGGCTTCGGAAACAATCTTCTCCAGAGCAATAACAACAGGTATTCATGTTGATAATACATTATTGAAGCACCCTATATTTTGTGAATTCAACTTTTTTAAACTGATGATCCACTCCTTCGGACTTAGATTGGGCTACAATAAGAGATGACTTCTCATAGAAATGAAGAGGGAAAAATCTTTTTAAAACTCGTCTTCTGAAGACTCAGATGAGCGTTGTGGCCAATGGGCCTCGATATTTTTTTTATTGGGGGGGGGGGGAGGAGGAGGGATAAACCCTTGTATATGTACATGTATTTTACATTCTGCATACACTGATTTATATGTATATCATTAATGATTATTTATGAAATTCTGGTTACCCTCTTTTTACCTCAATCAAATATATATAGTTTTTACAAATCAACTTCGTGTTTTAATATCTATGGTACATATATATATATATTTTTTTTTGCTAGTTGTAAAAAATAGCAAATTGATGCAAAATATCCAGGTTACTGCATATGTAACTGTATTCTCTCTTACATGTATATAGGAAGTAAACTGCATTAATTGATGTAGAGAGTATATGTGCATTTATTTTAGGAATGACTCTAATTCTTGGCCAAATTATTCGAGTATAACCTGGTTTGGGTCAGTTTACGCTTTATAATCCGCGAAGCGGATTATAAAACAGCGTAAACCGACCCAAACCAGGTTATACTCGAATAATTTGGCCAAGAATTAGAGTCATTCCTCATAATTTAATTTTAAAATCATTAAATAACTATGGGTGTAAAATTTCGTTGCTTTTTATTAGTTCAAATTTGCCGCTCAATAATACAACCATAGTAACGGAAGTAACGGAAGTGATGGGAAGCGAGGGGAGGTAAAAACTGATACATAGGCCTAGCAGCTTGTTTACATGTGGTAAGATCGAATTATTGTTTGAAGTTAAAGGTATATTTATTCAATCTGGAATTTTCCATGAATCCCGAGGACTGGAAATGAGAGGATTGTATGCATACAGATGATTCAGCTGGTTGTCAGGGGGGTGTGTCCCCATACCAAACCAGGTTATACAGAAATAATTTGTGTTCCTTTTTGGATATTAACCAATCAGAGGCTAGAATACAAACAAAATTAAATTATATACATATGTATTAAAGTAATGATCAGGTTTCCAACATTAGAGTTTAGAATATATTTATACTTACTCCAAGTGTTGAATATTCAGTTTATGCTTAATAACATTACGTTAAGAGTTTGTAAATTTTAAAGTTTATTTGGGCATTTGTAAGAAGTTGCTCTGTTAAAATAATTTAATAAAATGGCATAGTGAAATCGAAATACATGTAATATTGGCAAATAAAATTTCTTTTATGAATGAAGGACAAATTTATGTTGTTTTAGGAAAGTTTGCCAAACAAGCCCTGTATATATCCTTGTTTGTCAAAACAAGACTTAAATAAGCGATCACTGTTTTTTTTTTCTTTTCTAATATATTTAAATTTCCCCCCCCCCCCAAATGGCTATTATGTATTTCGGCGTCTGTATATTTTTAAAGGCTTATTCCCATTTTACTCTATTGTAAATTTTCAGGTGACGACTTACATGGGGACCAATAAACACGCCATGCAATTCTGAATTATTTTTTGCAGTATAAATAAAGTTTGAAAAAGAAAACAAGGATTTTCCATGCTACATTTGCTAATAAAATGTTGGACATAAATAAAGAGGAAAGATGTAAATGTTCATTTCGCATTTTTGTCATTTTATTTAGCATAAATCTTAACAAAGTTAATCTTTCAAAAGTATATATACATTAAACTTCACCATACATCAGTAATATTCACCGGAAAAAAAATTCCCATGCACGAAATTTACTTCAGCAAATAAAAGTACATGTACTTACAGGAAATAAAGAGAGAGAGAGAGAGGAGAAATTTTTTGATCTTTTAACAGTTACATGTTTGTGAATAATGTTTTAGCCCATAGCCTATGTAATATTTATAACTTAAGTTTTTCATTTGAGTGCAATTTTTGTTTGATAATCAAACGTCAAACTGCTATTTTAGTGAATCGAGTTAAAATTTTTATAGATTCAATACATTTATATTTATTTTTAATTCATAAACAAAAATTTTCATTAAATATATTTAAATGTTTCAATCACTAAGGGAATTCATATTATCTTTTTTGAAAATCTAAATTCTTAATAATTTTTCTTTATTTACTCAATATTCCATTTATTTGTTGTACCAAATATGGTAAAAAAAAAATCATTTCTCTTGAATGACTAGAAGAATTTTTTTAAGCATTTCCCTATAGGTAGCTCTTTTAAAAGTCTATTATGTGACTTATTTGTTTTCTTCATTTACATTCATGCAGTCAATTTATTTTTAATACTGAATGTTAGCTGAATAGGCCTTCAGCGCATGGCAATCTATTTAGGTCAACAATTTCCGACATGCGCACTTCTCTGCAATTAATGTTGATAACGGATTTCCCCTTACAGAATGGGAATTCCTACTCGTTTTTAGGTACCTAGCCGGATTTTTCTCAAGCATTTTGATGTAAACTTGAACATGCCGACAGTTTGTGAGGAATCGGGGGCCTCCGGCTCTTCTGTTGATTCTACATTGGATCTGAAAAAGAAACTTTTATCACAGGACACCACATACGAAAAATGCACGTGCCATGTGTTTACCCCAAGTGGAAGACAGTTTGGGAGGACAATATCGTTAGATCCCCAGCTTCTGAACCGTTGCGCCGAGTGTCACAAGGAAAAAGGTAGAACAAAGCTCCTTCACCATGAGAAAATTGCAGAAGAGACTGAAGACAACAGGGATAGAAAGTTGGGGGTTCGTTTGGGTACAGTGGTTCTAGAAGACAGGGTGGGAGGAACAAAACTATTGGATGATACGGACGGGGATGTGAAAGAGAAACTAATTGTAACTAATTGTGAACAAAATGAAAATGACAAAAATAATAAACTAGAGAAACTAGAGGATGAGGACCCAGAAAGGGGCCTCGAACCTCCCAAAAGAAAGCCCTGGACACGGAGAAAATTAGCTTTTAAGCTTACAGTATTGTTGATTGTTATTGCGTTAGCCATAACCGGCGTGGTTCTGGGAGTTACGAATAAGAAATCCAAGGTAGGTTAATTTATACATGTTTAGTAACTACATGTCATGACAACTCCCATCATGATCATATATTATTTAGCATGTTGTGTTTAAAGTGAAATCGATATGCTTACACGTGTGTTAATGCTTTATTTGACATATAAAAATACATTATTTTATTTGCTAATGAATTGGAGTATTGTTAATTAATTAACTCGCCAGGAGTAAGTGACGACACACATAGGTTAACAATCAGACCAAGTCGGTTAATGGCCCGTTCTGTATTTCGCAATACACCAGTAAACAGGTAAAGGACGACTATGTAACCAGGCCTAAACATGCTAAAAGTAAAAGCATATACCTAAGTGTTTTGTCCTATTATTACAAGCAGTAATAAATTACGAATTGACACATTTGTAAAATACTAGTAACCAGAGTACAGGGTTAAAATCTTTTCCCAGTGTTGCCGGGATAAAAATAGAAATAAAAGATTGTGAAAGGAATGTGTCGGTTATTATAATGGGGATACCCTTAAATCTTTGACGCACAATTTAAATGTCTTGTCAAGATAATAACATTCGCTTGAACATGTTGAAATGGATCTGAAATGAGAGAGAGAGAGAGAGAGAGAGAGAGAGAGGAAGCGAAGAAATATAGAATAGTTAAAAAAAACCAGCCATCGTTGGGCAAAATGGTCCAAGGTGCATTAAAGTCACTGAACGTCTTTGTTTGCTATTAACTTAGAGGTTAGAGATGATGAAACATTTACACGTCCGTTTTCCTTTTCAGGACAGACTACCCCCAGTTGAACAGAGATTACAACAGCCTCCCACACCGCCCCTTGTCACAAGTAAGTTACTAGGAAAGGTGTACCCTTGTTTTTGTTCCAGCCGAATTAAATGTATTTCTGCCATTCGGGGGACTTTTATAGCATTGTACATTAGAACTATCGACTTTATTGACAATTAAATTGATGTGTCTCTTTGACCTTCTGGGCTGCGTTCAAGATCGTAGTGGCTAACCTAGCTCCTTAAGGTGGTAGATATCTACCTCTATTGAACGGACAGCTAGCTTAGCTGCTACACAGGTGCTTGAGGACAGGACCCCCCCCCCCCCCCATACAGACCCCCGGGCTTGTTCGACTTTTTTCTCATAAATCATATATGGCTGACACATCTGTGATATAATCTCTATATCGTCAATTCGGAAAATTGACTTAAACAAACATTTTATAAAAAATTACTTTCCTACCCTATATATAAAAATTAATTTATATATATAGAGAGTGGGGTAGATTTTATAAAATGTTTGTTTTAGGTAATTTTTCCAATTGTTGGTATAGATTATTTCACAAATATGTCATTGAAAGATAATTTATGAGAAAAAAAGTCGAAAATGCCCGAGGGTCTATATCGGGGGGGGGGGGGGGTCCTGTCCTCAAGCACCTGTGAGCTGCTAAGTGTTAGATTTTGGATTAAAAAAATATAAATAAAACCTTTTTTGGAACAAAAGGGGTTTATTTCAGGCGAAAATACATACATAGATTTACATTTAATTCGCTAAGATGTAGAAAGCAACGCTCCTTTTTGTTAAAATCTTAAGCGCTACGAAGTGGTAACTAAGGAGGCCATCTTGGATTTGGTAGTTAGCATCAAATATTTATGCTAGCTCTCTCTACGTAGCGGCTAGGCTAGCTTAATGTTCAAGATCGTAGCTTTACGTAGAGGATACGTAGCGGCTACACTCTTGAACGCACCGTTAGTCTGCCCGTACCGTTGTCGGATGACGTGACTTTTAGGGGCAGCATAAAACCAGTACCTAACTTTATGGCTTCATATCTAATAAAATCTTTTTAAAAAATACTTTCAAAATTCCTGTATTCAGTTATGGATGCATTTTCTGATAATTTCTGATTTTTTACACAATATGCAGATCTATAAAAGTCTATTATTTTCTCACAGAATTCCAAACACATTCTCCGGCGAGGAACTGTTCGTTGAAGATGGAGTTGGATAAGGACAATTTGGAAACTGGTAAGATGATGTCTGTATTTGTTTCATTGATTATGATCTCAGTTGTTTGTGGGCACGCACTTGTCTTATGCATACTTATCTCAAGCACATTTTGATCCCTCTCGGAAGTGTTTTTGTAGTGGCTCGTGCCTTCACATGTTCCAGCAGTCATATATTTGGAGGATTTTAAATGACTAGAGATGGTCTAAATATATACGTTTACCAATAGATAGAATGGTTTCCTTTATATCTTCCTCAATGAAACGCCGCGTGCTGTAAATAATTCAGTTAGTCTTCACAAATTGCATGTAGGCCTTTTTGACGTATCTGTTAATTCAGTTACCAAACTTCTTCAAACTTTCCTTCCTCAAACCACAGACACCTGAAATTTTATCAGTAAATTACAAATATAGCCCTAGCCTGTACAAAGAGGTGGGATTTTTCGATCTTAGGCTTTATTTGCAACTTAAAACTTAATTCTATATACTATTAACATGATTGATTAAAATATTCTATTTTTTGTTAACTAGGAACTCCGGACACTTTTCAGTCACACAAACTTCCTTGGAGACCACTGACGTCACACTCTGCCAGCAACGCCATATTATACTCACCAGAAGCGAAGACGTTTAACGTCACAGAATCCGGGTACTTTACAATTCATGCTGATGTTCATATAGACACGCATTTCTGGATCAGCAGTGAGGACCTTCCGAAGACTTTTTCCTCCATTTTGTGTATCCAGTTTCCCACGAGAACACCAGCGAAGAAATGCAACACGTCTAAATACGTTGCACGCACGGTGCGTGCACAGGCTGTGCATACAGACATTTATTTAGAGAAAGGGGAGACATTTTACGTGACTATTGAAGTGATATCGTTAAAAATGATATATCACCTCCCTACAGACAAAAATAACATCATAGAAATTACATTTAAAAATTGCTAGCCATGTTTATAGTTGTATTACTGAATATATGAGATTTATTTATATTTTCATGTTAAGTTTTTAAATAAAAAGAAAAAAATACATTGAATTCGAATTGTACCTGTATTGCTTATGATGCAAAAGACTAGAATCCCAAAACTGTTTTATATGTGGTTTACACTTAATTTTTAATTTTTTCCCACGGGACTCAGGGTGCAGATTCTGAAGAACAATTGAATTTTACCTTCGATAAGTGATTTGGACTTGATTGAACTATCACTTAGTCCCAAATCTCAATATGAGTGGCCCACGCCTATCAGCCATACTTTATTTATTGAATGATAGGAATTTTGATCTTTTTTTTCTTCACTGTTGAATATTTTAAGTAGGATTTCAAGACAAAAAAAAATAAAGAAAATGTTCAATAAGCCTTTTGGGGGGTACCTTGTTTGGATTTTTAGTTTGTAACAAAGAAACAGAAAAACTTATATTTGGACTGCGTTCAAGATCGTAGTGGCTACAGTGCATCAAGCTCTGAGTATTGGGCTTCGATCCTGAACGGTACACTAGCCTAGCTACAACAAACGTTTATTCATAGAGTGCGTTTAATGTATCTAGGTATGTTCTGAACCTATGTTATTGACAATCAAAAGGATCAGAAACAAGTTCTATCAACTTACTAGTTCCTCTCCTTAATACAACACATAATAACTGTCATGCAAAAAATGTCAAAAACTTCAACATATATCTAGATATCTAGCAAGCAACTAGGCTAGCTGCTACGATCTTGAGTGCAGCCATGATATCAATGTGGTTTTTGTCTGGAAAGGTTGCTGCAAGCATGGTACGCATGAATATGAAATTGAATGTCCATAACAGAATGTTTTTTCTCCAAGGAATATATAAACCTCATGAGAATTCCTGAATTTAGATTGGTGTATTTTCTCATCCTCACAACGTCAGCTAGAGGTCCTGCGTCCACTTGATGGGATTCCTGTTAAACTTAATTCATTTTTATGGGCTGACTGCAGCAACGTCTTTCGGGGGAAATTACAAATCTTATCTCTCGAGCAAGTCTTTCGGTGACAAAAAAACTCTTTTTAACATGTATATTGAGGTGTCAACTGCTAAGTTTCTGTTTACTTTTACGTCAACAATTTGATTGATGCTTCTCAATAAGGAAAAAGAGGCCCATAGGCAAAACGCTCACCTGAGTCACTTGGCCCTACTGTCTTTCAGAAAAAAAAAATTAAAGATCTTGATGACCCTTATTTCAATAGAACAAAAAATGACCTCAGATTGTGGCCTCTACATACCCTCCAGAGGATATGATGTAACCAAACTTGAATACACAGACTGGGGTGCTTCAATATCAATTTGATTAACATAGCTCTGCTATTTCCCCTTCATAAGAATTTTAAAACTCCATATTCATTTGATAATCAGTGAATAAACTTGAATCTACACTTTGTAAAGAAGCTAAATTTCATCTTTTTGTGCCCAAAGGTTCTTAGGAAGATTTTAAAAGATCCATCAAATTTTGATCAATTCTTTTAAGTATTTCCCCTTGAAAGAGGTGTGGTCCTTCATTTCAACAGTTTGAATCCCCTTTACTTAAGGATGCTTTGTGGCAAGTTTGATTGAAACTGGACCAATTTTTCTTGAGAAAACGTCAAAAATGTATTAAAAAATAAAAAGAAAAAAGAAAATAAAGGAAAAAAAGCTTAAAGACGACATTCATGCAGAGGACACCAGACAACTGTTCACTTGAGCTAATTTTGACTCAGGTGAGCTAAAAACGAATCAAGTTTATTAGAGGTCCGATGGTCACGAGTAGACTTGGGGCCCCTGACATTATGAGGATACATCTAGCTTTACAAAGTATAGAACAGTTCTAAGAACGATATTGATTCATGTTTGATTCTCTGATGTAGCTACATGTATATTACTGACGACGGTTGCTTAAACTGATTTCATTTTCTGAGAATTGCTCAATTTTGTAATAATATATTTTCTAAAGACACTGGTATTTAAGGATTTTGTTTAAACAATACTATTTTTATTTTTGATAGAGTATGGCATAAGGGTCTAGTTATTCTTTTTATAAAATAATTAATTTTTTTTAATACATTAAACATAATTATGTTTACTCCTTATTACAGGACATCTGTTTTACTCCTTATTATATATATATATATATATATATATAGTCTAGACCTTCAAATGGTCATATGCAAGATCTCCCATTGTTTTTTGGTTGGATATGATCTTTATACAACTCATTGTGTGTTTTCTATCCCCTCGCCAATGAAGATCGGAGATAGAAAAAATCACAAGTAGTTGGATAAAAATCGTTTCCAACCACAAACCATGGAGATCCTGCATATGACTATTTTTAAAGGCCTAGACTGCCCTTGACCGGTACACTGTGGTATATTAATTAAGTTAATTACATTATCGTGATTTGTTCAAGTATTTCAGCAGGAAGTACCATAATATCCTTGTCAGTACAAAGTACTAGAAGCAATTAAAATATAAACATGCAATTGTCAGAACCAGGATGGAAGATACATAGACAAGTCATGCTCCATGGTCATTAAATAAGGATCTTTATTTAAGTATACCATGCCGCCCTGCTTTTCTTTAGCAGGGCCAGTGGGTTGATGTTGACATACTTGTATACTTATTGTATGATAGTAAGGGAGATATGAAGATTTATTCAAGCGAGGACCAATGGAATAATAATTTTGCAAACAATCAATTTTGAATTTACCGAATCAATCAACAATGTTTAAACACAATTTTTTTTTTAACTTGAGAGCTCCTCTCAAAGAGGGTGTTGCAGAAACTCGCGATTATTCCCTAAATCGAGAAGGACATTTAAGGACATACGCAACGTACCTTACCTACTGATAATTTTTCGAGATATTCTTAATTTAAGATTATAGTACCATCAAATGTTCGTAGACAAAAAATCAGCATGCATTACCAGGGGTTTTGAAAAGATATCAATTGATGAAAATTCTTGTATAATTCAAAGAAAAATATACAAAAATTACCAAACACATATTGTAGATGTTTTGTGTATCCAAACTTGTTTTAGAAGAAGTTTACAATAGCATATATAGACAATAAAATGTAGCACACGGTTCCTTTAAGCATTGGAACTCTTCAACTCCAGGGAAAAAGACAATAAAGTTCAAACTACGTTGCGTATGCCCTTAAATACCCACGACGCATGGAGAGTTATCTCTAAATATAGATAATGCTACGTAGATGACTTTATTTAAATACGGCGGGTATGTCCAGCTTGTTATAACAAATTAAACCATTTCAATTTTACGTTTATTTCATGCATAGTTTTTCCTAACATAGACTGGCGACCTGTTAGTAAACTTCTTTTTCACATCTATGGTCACTGTCGCCATATTGAACGAGAAAAGTTAGAATTATAAAAAGCACAATTAAAGGCAAGTGCACCTTGCACATCATTTTGAAAGATGTACTGTAGACAGCATGCGTTAATATTTTTCAATATATAAAAATGTGTCCAATAATCACGCTGTTGATGCAATATCCAAGAAATTTCATTGAGTCATTTCAATTTAGTTGTTTCAAGTCAAATCTGAGCCACTAATTAACAGAACAATAATGAAATGAGTATGAAAAAAAAATTATTTAAAATGATAGTACTTTATTTCTTAAGACAACGCCACTATATAATAACGTTAAATGTATGACATTGGTTTATCTCATTATTTATTTATTAAATCACAATATCAAGTAAAACAATTTTATTCTGCATGCATTTAAAATATTGCCCATTAACTTTGACATTCTCTCCCTCTCTCTCTCTCTCTCTCGAGATGTTACATTGAACTTCCATTATATAAGAAAAAAATATGTATATAAGCCATTCCAGGATTCGAACCCATATAATATAACGAACTGTAATAAAAGATAAAAGAATCTTCGCACAGAGTCCAGACGCTTTACCACTAGACCAGCTCCGACACTGAAGTATCATGTGCTATTTTATGTGCTCATTTCGCATTTCGGATGGATAATAATTTTTATTCGATTTTTGTGATTTTCAAAAATATGCCTCTTTGAAACAAAAATCGGAAATGGCAGTTTTGAAGGAAAATACTGTCTCTTTGTGCGTATATCAAATTCATTTTGTTTCAAGGAGGCAATTTTTCAGAACAATGGGGATTCCCTATTTGAAAAACAGAAAACTTGAATTATTTTGCTATGTGACTAATTTACACTTCATTTAATGTCAAATTGGTTTTCGATACGCAGTTTCTAAATATCGCTCTACATTGTGCTGTATATACCGTTGTATCTGAAAAAAAATTTAAGACCGTTTTCTGTTACATAAAATTTTTCTTTTGAACTGCTACAACTTTAGGGAAAATAACAAAAGAACTGCAACACCCTCTTTTCTTTCAATTTAAAAGTCGGGCTCTCAAATTTACTTTCAATTGAAAAGTTAATACTTTTGCCTTCTTTTTATCGATGAAAAATTAATGTACGTATGTTATATGTTAGGCCTTTGTATATTTTTGTTAAGAAAAGAACATTTTAGTATTATATGTCGATACGATATATTCTGGTGAGCTTGAGATAAAAGATATACCACAGAGTCTGACACATCTGTTTCATATTTGGATATTTTACTTGAAAAAGACGTTAGGGACTAGGCAAAAATTATCACCATGATGGGACCGGTACAAAAAAATTTCTCATTAAAAAAAATTACATGTCCCATAGCTTTCGTATTGAAAAAAAAAAAAATTGTCCCATGCCTTTAGACTTATAAAAAAGGTTACTGTCCCATGGTTAAATCTTGATGTGAGATTATTGTTACATTAAAAGTTTAAATCTAAATTTAAACCTATCTATAACTATCTCTTATCTAATCTTTAGATTTAAACTTTTAATGTTACATTATTGCAAAAAAAAAAAAAAACAAAACAAAACAAAACAAAACAAAAAAAAACAAAAACAAAAAAAAAAAAACAAACAAAAAAAAAACAAAAAAAACAAAACAAAGATTAAGATGTTAACAATTACTTTTATAAATTAACTGAAGGAGTCTTTCAGATTACAGGTATATCAAACATTAATGCTAAAAAATGTTTTTGTCCCATGGTTTTTTTCGATGAAAAAATTCCATGCCTGTTTGTACCGGTCCCATCATTGTGATAAATTTTGCCTGGTCCCTTAATGGTAATCTAACAACCAAGCTTTATGATAAACGTGATGACTTTAACTTTTCAATCGTCAGCTTCCCTTACTTATGCAGCAATTAATATACCTTCATCACCTGCATACGGGGTTTATATCTCTCAGTTCATTTGAGCATGCTCTACGTATGTACAATTTCTAAAACGGGGTAAATTATTGGCAAACAAGTTGATGAAACAAGAATATCAGCAGTCTCGTTTAAAGTCATCATTTCGTAAGTTCTATGGTCGATACAATGACCTTGTCAGCAAATACAATTTATCATGAGTCGGTTTATCAAATGCTGACTGACGTTTTTCATACTAATTGTTAGGCCAATATTTACACACTGAATTGTCGACGGATTTTCCCGTTATTTCCCGATCATGACAAGGAGCATACGGCAGGTGTGATCGGTCGGCAGGGGATGCTCACTCCTCCATGGCACCTGATCCCACCTCTGATGTTTTGGAGGTCCGTGTTTGCTCTGCTCCTATTTTGTATTGTTTAATGGACTTTTGAACTTGAATACAGTTCGTTATCTCCATATATTTATGTTAGGCCTTTGTATATTTTTGGCGAACAAAGATTTTAACGGGTTCTGTTTCTTTAAAACAGTCATTTGGAAAAAAAAATTATTTGAAATTAACAATGTAAAGAATCAGTTCTTCAAAATTTTGATATGCGGGTACACACAGGCAATGTACACCAACGTCGTCGGAAAACCCAAACGTCTAAAAATAGAAGAGAGGAGTGGGCGCAGTGTCAGATATGGCGGCCGGAGATGTACCAAGATGTCCGGAGTGCCAACAAAAACAAACCCTGTCTCCGGTACCCGAATCTGGACAACCCCTGATTGAAAGCAAGCATTGTCATTTATGTAGAAAGCTTCAGAAAACTTTCGTGGACATTCCACGGCCGGCATTCAATCGGAGTGTATCTTGTCCTGCCAGGTCTAATGTTGTGTCATATGTGCAACAAGGAGGAGAACCGCTTAGTGCCTCACTGACAGATGAGGAGGATAAAGATGATTCTGAAGATGTCAAAAAAATCGACTTTGGGGTCAATTTCTGTAGCGAATCGTCGCCAAGACAACGTGTTTGTCGGGTTATCAGCAAACAAACGGTTATTTTTATTGCGATAGGCCTATTTTTAGTGCTAATTGTATTGATTTGTGTACTCTTCTATGGTGTATTCTCGGGACGCAGTTCCCAAGGCGAGGGACCCACCCACAATACCCCGGTATGTTTAATTTTCTAAATTTTAAAAGTTTAATTTCAAATGTTTATTTTAATCTATAATAATTCTTATTCGGTGAACAAATTATAAAAAGAGTGAGACTAGGACAATAATATCTCCATTTGTTTTTTATAATGTAAATAGCCGGTGATTTTTGAATACAGCCCAAGCAGTTTATTTATACACTTTTTGGTAATTTGTCATTGCTAAATTTAACTTCTTTCACCGAATTTGAGTGCAAAGGTTATCATCAGCCAATCAAATTCTTAATCTTTTCAGAGCCCTTTGAACCACGGCCTCACCAGGAATGTGACTGGTAAGCATTTCATTCATAATTTATCGTAAATACAGGAAGTCGGTCATGACTAATCCGAGACCGTACAACGGCCTTGGGGATATTATGCATCTTAGTTTGTCACGTTTAAAGTTTAAATCTTAATTGAAACCTATCTACTAATAATTATCTATAAGTTTAAATTAAGAGTTAAATTTTTAATGTAACGAATTCATGAACATTGATAAATAAATCTCTTTTTTTTTTCTTCAGTTTCATGTATAATTCTAGTATAACAGTGGTCTTGACCGTAATTATGTATACTTTTAAATATATTTATATAAAAAAAATGCTGGAATACAACTTTATTTTCCTTGTAGGCAAAAATAAGTAATGTGAATTTAAAATTTACAAATTAGAACGCTAAGTAATGGGGAAAAGGGAAAGAGAATACGTAATGTGTTATAGAACCGTCTCGACGCAAGTCACATGTGCACATGGTCGTGTCATGTTAAATTGTCAATTTTGAATTCACCGGTAAATACAGTCGTTCAGAAAGTTAAATCAATTCATTAGAACGGATTTAAATATCATTTTGAAATTATAAAATTAAAATTTGGTGTATTTATGTAAAGATATCGATTCCTTAAAAAAATATTTACCTACGTAAATTATCGTGTATTGTTTTGAATTAAAAAAATCAATTATGGTCTCTAAATAAATATTATTGCACACACTTGGCAGTGTGGCATAAAAAAGAAAATGTAGCGTGTGTCCAATAACATGCGATGAGAATTCAAAATCCATATTTTTGACATTTTCTTGAAATTAGCTTTACGTCAGACTGGGCCGTGTGGCTTGCATATACAAAGTATTTATTCCTATAACGTTCGTTAAAGGTGCATAGACAGAGATTTGAGGTTTATATTTTCTCAAATTTTCTGTATAATATCACATCTTATATGTTGCTATAGCATTTCACACGAAAATAAAATTAAAAACTTATTTAATTTGGAAATTATTGAAACTACGAATTTCGGGAGGTGTTTGATTAAGACATCGTTGCACTTTCACAATTTTTAACTTTATCCTTAATACTTAAGAAAAAGTATCAATTTTGTTGAGTATTAATGAATAATATTACATCTATAATCCAGAAAATTCAGAGTAAAAATGTGCGAAAGCAAAACCCACTCACTTAAGTATTGTCAGCCCGTGCTCAGTGTTGTGTACTTGTGTAAAGAGTTTAACAAATTGAATACACCCGTGAAACGTAACAGGGCACGAGCTCTGTTGTTGTTAATGTTTACGTTTCACCGGGTATGTTCAATTGTTAAACTCTGCACACACCACTGAGCACGGACTGACAATACTGATGAGAGGATTTTGCTTTCTACATTTTCTACATTTCTACTCTGAAATTTCTGCATTATAGTTTTAATATTTTTCATTGATAAACAGCAAAATTGCTACTTTTCTAAAGTAATAAGGATAAAGTTAAAATTTGTGAAAGTGCAAGGATGTGTCTATCAAACGCGTCCAGAAATTCGAAGTTTCAGTAACATAAGATTTTTATCAAATTTTCCTATGAAATGCTATAGCAACATATAAGTCATGAAATTATACAGAAAATTTGAGTAAAAATTAACTTCGAATCTGTGTCTAAGCACCTTTAAATAGTGTGTATTGTTTTAATTATTATATATTTACTAAATCATGGTCCATATTAGAATATTGTCGTACACGTTTGCCAGTGTGGACTTTATTAAGAAAATTATAGCATTTGTCCTCGAACTTTATGGACAGCCCTCGTATACATCAAATTACGAGCATGTTAGTAAACAAAGATTTAATGAATAATTATTAACTAAGACCGAGAATTACCACACTTGCCCCCTTCCCCTACGACACTAGATAAAATCTGCTCACAATTCTATTCATACTTCTAGCCATTTCTGCCGATGCTCAGGTAATGTGTTGCATACTAAAATTTCTTTGTCGCCAAAAAAAATTAATTATACCTTTTATTATTTTCCCCTCTTCTCAATAGACCAGAAGTTTGATTTTTTTTTAAAAAAACATTTACTGTATATTTAAAATACATAATTATGTCTAAAATCTTTAGACACCAAACGTGATTAATTATGGACTATCACTTTTTGGTTTGAATCTGTAAGTTCAAAGAATAAGAAAGCAAGTTTTTTTTACAGTCTAAAAGAATCGTTTTTAAATATAGGTAGTGTGTCGCAGCAGCAACACAACTAAAAATGCTTTTTCAGTTATTATGTTGTTAATAATACAGATTACGATTGAAAAATGACGAAATTCTGCAAAACCATACTAAGTTATGAAATATTAAGTAACACAGGTCATATAGAGTTATTCCCCATGACTTTAAATATACAGCTATGTGTCTTTGTATTCACTTTCTTACTTTATCATATTAAGAAATATTTAAGAGTATACAAACCAAGCCATGGGTATGAGTCCAACTCCAAATAATGAAATTTTACATGTACAGTAGTGTATGTCTTTATTGAATTATCTACAATTCATCAATAACATTTATATACTCCATATCCCCTGTGTTATAAAATCCTGTTTATCAACTGTGTCATAAAGTATATTAAATGCATAGTGTAAAAAGTTGTTATAGTTTTAGATTTTATTTAAAGATTTCTAGAATGTAACAACATTTAATTAGTTGTAATTTTATTGAATTGTTTAATATTTAAATTAAACATAATTATTTTTAAATCAAGTTTATTATTGAAATTAATTTCGTAACTTTCAATGGCATCTAAAAGGAAAAAGTAAATAAAAAAATTAAAATCAATATAAATCATGAATATCACAGAAGTTAATCAATCATTTTCTCCGTTTCAGTTTTTCCCCATCATCAACATTGTACGTCACACAGTTTATTCCTTGTCGACGTCTCCAAGCCTAAAGGTCAGAAAATATAAACAAGAGTATAACATACGTTGTGACTCGCTTTTATTCTGTAACATTTTTATTGAGTAATATATAAATAACAGGAAAATACTCATCTACTTTCAGCCTCCGATAACCAGTCCACCACCGTGTCCTTTAGACTTGTGAACTCATCAGATAACAGCGTTAGTCTTTCCGAAGATGGACAGACCATCCACTTCAACAAAGCAGGCTTGTACGACATAGATGTGGATTTTATAATGGACACCTACTCCCTTGACAGTGTCTCTCAGGACCGCTCTTATCACCAGACCCTCTGTCTGAACATAACCAGTAGGCCTCCGGTCTGCCGACCTCTCATCATGCGCGAATGGATGAGACTGCCCCTCAGTGTTAATGCTAAAGTTCGCGCACATTACGGACAGAGGTTGTCCGTTTTTGTGAAGAACCACAAAATCTTGTTTCCGGATCCCAACGGAAACATGTTGTCGATTGTAAAAAGGTACTGTTAAATCATGAATGAATCCATCTATAAAAAATTGTCAGGGAATATTGCCAAGTAAGAACAAATCAATGTTTTGTATGGAATTTCTGAACTCATTGCTCATTGAAAAGATCCGCCGCCATATCGAATAAAGTTGTGTATTCTGTGATAATTAGTTGCTAGCGATACATAGCTGGATATTTATTTTTCTCTTTGAAAGGAATATGGGCCATTTGATCCCTGTCCAATATTATATATCAACATGAGTCAAGTGACAACTATCTGATCTGTTAATTGTACAATAACTATAGACCTGTTCTATTGTACAATAACAAATTGTCTATAGATAGCTTTCATATGACATATTTTCTCTCCGAGTTATTTCCCTTGGCCGCCATCTTGGTGGTCAACATGGTAATTTTTCCTGTTTGTCTTACCAAATTTAAGAGGGTGTAGCAGAAATATTTGGGGGAAAATCTTTATAAAACAAAAATTATGAAATAAAGAAGGCTTTAACAAATGTATACAGACTCCCTACCCCCACAATGGCCAGTGTAAAAAGTTAAAGTTGGTTGAATAATGAAGGAATATGAGCATGTTGACGTCCAATATGGCGGTCAGCGGGAAATAATTCTTGCTAATTCAGGCCTACTGCTGTGCAGTTCTGATGTACTGTGAAAACTCTGTTCTGTTGTACAAAATTGTACAGTAACAACTGTGTGCTGGCACACTATTTTTTATTATACCGTATGTTTTTTTCCCTGATGTTCTTAAGCATTATGATTACATGTACATTGTATTTGTTGCCCCCCGCTTTCGCGAAAGTGCTGGGACATTAAAACTCATTCGTCTGTCCGTCTGTCGGTCACAAAAAAACTATAATCTTAGTCATACCTTCTGAATAAGAGGAGATATGACTTCCATATTTAATGTGCATTACCTATTACAAAACCTTCCATCACATATTATTATTTAATTTCGTGATCTTGAAGTTGGACCTATTTTTCACTAAAAAAGTTATGGCTTTCATATTTCACGCGAATTACCTATAGCAAGAACTTTTTGAGTGCACTTTGACCTTGACGTTTTTACCTAATTAAAAAAAATCTTAACCCTGATATCGTAGCTTTTACACCTGTATAAACAGGGCTTTCAAATTTTTACGTGTGTATTACCTGTGACAAGCTTTTCCGAATGTACTGTGATTTTTGACCTCATGACCTTGAAGTTTGACCTCATGACCTTGAAGTTTGACTCGCTTTAAAAAAATGTTAATTTAGCTGTAACATGCACAAGAAGAGACGGATCTTGTATATGTATTATTTCACATGTGCATTACCTGTAACATTCCCGAATCTGCTATGAAATTTGACCCCATGACGTAGACCTCGAAGTTTGACTTTCAAAACTTTAATATTGGCCGTAACTTTTGCACCAGAACGTTTTATTTCAAAAATATAATTTTATTATGATGGACAGGACAGACAAGACAGTTACAATATGTCATAGACATTGCACCCAAACAAATAGGACCCCAAAAGCGGGGGATCTCAATTCCCTGTTTGTTTTACTTGTCAAATATTTTTCAGTATCCAAGGTACCGTAAAATGCCTCTTGGCATTTTTTTGGCTTTATAGACATCTGCATCAAATGCAGATTACAAAATTATTTTTCCCCATTTCATTTTTTCTGATGCATTGAAATTGTGAAGGTGCAAAGACTGTTATAATGGCTCTCTCACAGAAAATCAATCGTGTTAAACTATTTCAAAGTTTATATTATGATATTGTTAAAGTTGCCAAAGGTAGTTTTAGAGTATTTTATAAAATGTTGGGTTAATTGTATATATATTTTCATAAAATAAAAGAATATATAAAGTCAATTGTTGTTCTGAAAATTCACTACGAAACGACGAAGGGGTCATATTGATCCAGCAATTGCATCTTCTAGGGCCTTTCCGGCAACCTCGGAAAACACCTCGAATGCTTTTTTCATGGGATGTTAAAATTTTATACATAATGGTGTCTTTTCCTATTTAAGTATTTAAAAAAAAAGACATAGTTAATTATCTTTCCTATGCCATATGTTAATTTTAGGTCATATCTTTACATGGAATGAAGTTTAGCTCCATACTCTACAGATAAGGCTAACTTCATAATAATGTTTGTTTGCCCTCTTCCGACTCAGGATGAAAAAAATTGGGTCGGTAGGTAAGTGGGAAATTTTTCCCCCCAGAAAATTTTCAAATCAATGCTGAATGTTCAAAATTTTTTTTTCCGGAATGCATAAAAAATAATTCTTTCCTGGAGGTTAAAAAAAGTTTTGAATAGGGCCATTTTTAGCCAGTCGGTCGGGAAAGGGCAACCAAACAAATTTTTAAAGATGACCTAAGAGGTCTCCCTACATTTATTCAAATGTTTCTGAAAAGGGGGATTGTCATGGACACCTACGACTTTTCTGCTTGTCGGAAAGGCCCGAGAAGTTGCAATTAATTGATCCAAGTTGCAGGGAACAAATATGGAAGAAATTTCATTTTTTAAATAAGCCACAAAAATGCACAACATGTACATGTACAACATAAAGAGAAATTTCGTAAACAATATCCAAAAATTCTTTAAAGGATGACTGCACTTAAGGACATGCGAAATTTGCGACAAAATAAACTTTCAAAACAAGCATTTTTCTTTTCATTATAAGAATGGTCAACATCCAATCTACAACTTTATGTAATTACGTTTAATAAAAGTGTGTATTTACGAAGTTCGAATCTGTTTCAAAGGCAGGGGTCATCACAATTTCTTGAATCTCCGTTCGATAATGAGGATGCCCACTTTTTTACTGACTTTATACATAGTCAGCGCATGTTTGTCTATTGTTCTACGTTTAACAGTAGTTGTATATTTGCATAAATAATAATGTATCAAAAGGAGATTAATGGACAAACATGCGCTCATGGTTAAAAAGAGAAAAAACTGCTTCTTCTTACATTCGCTCTCAGTGTTGTAACCAAGGATTGTGACATGTTGAATATTATAATTCACCACGTGATTTCTTACCTCAGGTAATTTTGTGAATACTAAATTCCGTCACGTGACTTGTAAGGTAGCATGTTTTGTGCTAACTAGGACATTGTGTTCGAACACGTTAAGTCATCTGGCATTGATATAAAATCTACTTTAATTACATTGACGTGCTCATATTGTTAATTTCGTTTTGAAACCTTTGTCAGAAGTGTATTTGTGCCATACAGAATGGAGAGGGAGATTGGAAAGAGTAATCACGTTCTTTTTTCCAAACATGTCATTGTTATTTATCTAGTCTAATTTTAGACCCATTCTTACAATGTTAGCTCCACCTCTCATGCATATCTAATGTTCAGTCAAGGGCAGGTAAGTGTAAATTCTTTATATTTGGAAAGCACTAAGGACAAAAAACATTGAATCATTTTATTGTATGACAGTCTAAAATCATTTTCAGATTTAAATTTGGTTCCAAATTGACAGGATTCTTTCATAAACATACAAAAGTGAAATAAGATTTAGATAGAAAAGCAACAGAAGCAACCGAAAAAGACCCCAAAATAGGCGTTAAGTGCAGTCATCCTTTGTTTGCACTGAACATTGTAAGCCTGGCTATCACAATGAACGCGTGAAACCAAGGCCTAGTTCCGGTTAAACAGATGTAGATTTTTTAAGTGACACATGGAAACGTCAACAAAGGGTTCTAGATCTGAGGAGCAGAAATACGGTTCCGGTTTGTCGGACTGAATGACTCAGAACTAATAAAATATCAATTTAAACTAAATACTATTGAAAATTCTCAAGGTGTGAAATTTTTAGTAGTAGAATTCCCATTGATTACCTATGTACATGAGTCACTGTATGAAGAAAGAAGAAACGGAAAATATGTCCGGTCTGCCTTGACTTCTACTATATTTGATTTTGGACATTTTATAAATGTTTTAATGGGAATGTACTCTAAAGTGCACCTACTATTCATAATAAATGTATGTACATGAAAAAAAACCCAAAAAATCAAAAAGTATATAGTTTGCATAATTTTCCGTAAATCTAGGTCATATTCTTCTCCTATTTATAATTAAATGTAAATGGAGGTGTATTATTTTAAGTTAAATGTAAATGGAGGTGTATTATTTAAGTTAAATGTAAATGGAGGTGTATTATTTTAAGTTAAATGTTAAATGGAGGTTTATTATTTTAAGTTAAATGTTAATGGAGGTGTATTATTTTAAGTTAAATGTTAATGGAGGTGCATTATTTTAAGTTAAATGTAAATGGAGGTGTATTATTTTAAGTTAAATGTTAATGGAGGTGTATTATTTAAAGTTAAATGTAAATGGAGGTGTATTATTTTAAGATAAATGTAAATAGAGGTGTATTATTTTAAGTTAAATGTAAATGGAGGTGTATTATTTTAAGTTAAATGTTAATGGAGGTGTATTATTTAAAGTTAAATGTAAATGGAGGTGTATTATTTTAAGTTAAATGTAAATTGAGGTGTATTATTTTAAGATAAATGTAAATAGAGGTGTATTATTTAAAGTTAAATGTTAATGGAGGTGCATTATTTAAAGTTAAAAATGTTAATGGAGGTGTATTATTTAAAGTTAAATGTAAATGGAGGTGTATTATTTTAAGTTAAATGTTAATGGAGGTGCATTATTTAAAGTTAAATGTTAATGGAGGTGTATTATTTTAAGTTAAATGTAAATTGAGGTGTATTATTTTAAGTTAAATGTTAATGGAGGTGTATTATTGTGTATATACAAGTACGAAGGTCATTAAAAAAATGTAGCATTTTATCTAACGTCATATTATAACCAAATTCGGTAGACATATTTCAGTGGTAAATCCATATAAATTGAACTGAAAAAAAAAAAAAATTAACACGATATATTTCAAAATTAAATGCAAAAATGGTTTCACGGAGCAAGTCAAAATTTAGCAATGTAGTCGCAATACACTATATAATGTCTACACATGCATGTAGTCATATTGCTTTAAAATGGCGTTTAAACAAAATAGAAATTAAAAATAAAAAAATAGAGTTTGGTTACATCATTAATCGTTTGCATATCTTTTTAATTTTATTGCAATTTCGAATTATTTTTAAACAAATGACTCCATACTGCACCACATCAAAGAGTTTCATTTCATTACGCAACATACGACTGAAATTTGCAATAATGACCGTAGCATAGGAATTCATTTTTTTCTACTACAT